TTCTTTTAAATATGCGTGGCTTTTGATAGTTGAATCTAGTGTTGAGGTTGCCCAAATTGGCAATCTGCCACTTCTATTCAGCCGTGTCTATCCAAATAGTCTAGAAGCTGCATGAGAACATTCAGCGTCTGAAAACCTGAAAAGCCTGCACTGAGAGAGTGACTCCGCTTTACCCAGCATTTTTGACCTGTTCTGAGAAAAAAACACGATGAAGTAAAATTATATGTCAGATCTTACAGCTATTTTACTGTGGATAGAAATTAAATAGAAACTGTTGTTTTAATGAGTCAGAGCAAATACTCTTTTTCAGCATTGCAGTGTGGCATAATTTATCCATAAAGGTAGAAAGAACTACGGAATCTCCGATTACCAGAGGCCATTGAAGTCTTACACGAAGTAACTTAGGTTAGCTCGGTCTTTATGTTTCCAGCTGGCCCTATTCTTTATAGAAAAATCAGAGTTTCTTTGGTGAAGGCTGCGAGCAGTACCTGGTACCCCCTTCCCCTCTGCCCCGATTTTACTGGAGGTAAAACTCCAGTACAAACTTTAGCTATAACAAACATCCGAACTTTAGCTATAACCACGTATGCTCAAACATGGAGCAAAGGGCTGTCTCTCACCTGTATTACAAGTGCTATTGCTCTGTCAAGTAAAACTAAGGCTTTGTTCTGAAAAAGCCTCCTAGCATGGTATCCTACAGAACCTATAGACCTCGAGAAGGTACACTAGAGCATCCTGCCCTTCCTTAAACATCTCTAGGCATCCTCCAGCCACAAACGGCAGAGACTACTGTGGTAGTCAAGAATATAGATTTAGAAAAAATAAGGAATTGTTTGAACCCACTTTCTTAGGGAAATAAGACTTTTGCCATCTCTCCTCTCTATCCCAACCTAATTATAACTGTGATTCTTTTCTCCAGTCACAAACTTTACCAAACAAACAAAAACATGTTCTACAGGTATTTTAGATGGCAGGATGGTTTAGATTCTACATTTCATTCCAGTATTTTCTTTGGAAGGATTAGACTTTTTTCCATGCAACTGCACAACTACATGCAGAAGTTTTATGAACACTGTTCATAAAACGGTGGTTAGGTGAAACAGCTCAAAACAGACCGAACAAAATTCAAACTCAGAATTGAAACCCTAGCTTTGACTTGCAGAAAGAACCCAAGAACAGGCAGTGAACGTTAAATGTCACTTTTCCTTTGTCAAAGCATTGCAGTTTGAGGTAAACTGGCATCCTACTAAAACAAGTTGGCCTGAAGGTCTCTGGCCTGCTACACCTCATCTCACTCTGTAAGCAGCACATGCAGAATATCCTCAATTCAAATATTAAAGCAGAAAAAGGCACTTGGTCTCCATGTAATAACCACTCAGATTTCTTGGATACAGGCTGACCATTCTTGCTGGCAAGATAACCTTATTCTCCAGAGACAGATCACTGACATCCTCAAAATCAGTTAACCCTGATTCAGAGGCAGACTCCAGCTTTGTGGGAATACGCATTAGGACAGTTTCTGGTGAACAGTATCTAAGTAAGAGAGACACCTTCAGAGGAACAAAATACCAGCTAAACTCAATGAAGAGAAGAAAACTCTGCTTGTTCCAAAATCTTACCATTCATAAAATCAAGGATCCAGCAAAATTGGATTTCTAAACAAACAACGCATGTAAAACATCAGGTGAACAGCGCAAAGGGAGATTAATACGACAGCAAGTAGATGAAGTATCAATTATACAGAGCTTAGACTTGAAAATTTTCCAGCGCATAAAGCAGCTTGTACCTTTTAAATCTAGAAAAAGACATCCTGCCAAACATACAATTCATTACCAGGGAAAGGGATGGGTGACAGAACAAGCAATTACATTGCTAGTGTAAATAAGCCAGACCCCTTGGAGGTGCACAGTGAAATGACAAAAGGCAACAGTTACAAGTTCCAGCAAGGGAAAATCTGACTAGATAAAGAGAAAAAAAAAAAATCAGAATAACGGTGGTTAAGCAGTGAACGAGGGCCCAGAGAGGCTGGGGAGGTATTTCCACCCTGGAGACGCTCAGAACGCAAGGCGGCCCTGGGCCACGTGCTTTAGCCCTGACGTTAGCTGTGCTTTGAGCAGGGGGTGAGCTGGAGACCTCCAGAGGGCCTGTCCAACCTCCGACAGTCTATGTTTCTAGCTGCCTTCTGGGAGTGTTCATGTACTAAACAGATTTAGATGGTCTAAGGGCCATCCCAGCATACAGCTCATGCTACTTGTATTGAATAACATAGGAGGCACAAATAACCCGGTAGAAAGTGACCCCGTCTAAACCCTTAGGCAGGCTGTCTTTATTTTTCCTATATATTTTAATATATATTTTATTTTGTATATGTAGCATTTCCAACTTCAAGCGATCCTTTCCTTCTCTGCCTGCATAAACCAGAGCTGCCAGAAGTAACAAGAAAACTCTCTCAGTGATCGAACACTGACGAACTGGTATTCGTCCGTGTTGGTATTAAGTTAGAAGTTATTTTTGTTCTAACAAGTAAATATTACTTCTCTCTACAGACGATAGTGCCCCATATAAAGTGCTCTGTATCCTCTCAAGAATAAAAGTCAGCCTAAGTGGTAACCCCAACACAAACCCCGCGAGGATTCAGTCCTTAATGGAGAATCCTTTACTGCTCATAAATGCTGCTTGCGTAGATGTGCACTGCAGTCTCTCCGAATGCCCCTAATGTGGGGGCTGAGGAAATATTTGTTCATGAAAGATGTTATTTTACCATCCCCAATGATCTAGCAAAGGAAAAATGAAGATGCTGGAAAAAAAAAAAAAAAAAAAAAAAAAAAAAAAAAAAACGCACAGGAGAATCACTAAAAATAATGAAAAAGTATAATTGTTTTGTTTTGAGAAAGCCAGTAATAATCCTTTCAATAGTAACAAGAGCGGAAAAACAAAAATGAGCAATATTAATGTAAATGCCAGATATAAACACTTAGACAGCTGAAATGTGGTTCAGCTGATCGACATTTCTGGCATTTCTGGTTTGCAAAAAGGACAAGAGCTCGTGCTCAAGCGTTACGAAGGCTTTTAGCAGCCCCCTCGTCCTCTTTCTGTGTGGCTCTACGTGTTTATGAAGGTAGGAGTATGCGACAAAATATCTGCGTGTGTGTGTTCTCACACAGGTGGAAAATTACAGTCCTACCTGAGACTAAACAAACTACTTTGTCTGCAGTGTTCTGCATTTACATTATGTTTTCTTTGGAAATTAAAAGACCTGCACTTTAATCTTTCAGACAGAAAG